CCGAGACGCACTCAGGAACGCCATCTTCATTAGTGTACACTGCCGCGGGAATATCGGCAGGAAGTGAACGCCTTGCCTTAAGCAGGCACAGAGCACCCAGCACTGGGCACACGAAGGGTGTCCCGAGCGTCGCAGAAACCGTCTTGTAGGGTCTCCTTGTTGGTTCGTCTTTGATCCGGTAAGCCGAATGTACACTGCCGACGCATCCTTCGCCTCAAGAGTTGGCTGATCGCTCGAGTCAAGAACGGTAATGTCGTTAGCCTTCAGAGCAAACCATGCAAACCTGTGGGAGCTCACCGCTGCGATCTCGGAGCGTCTCAGAAGGAAAAATAAAGCCAGACACAGTACCCCCCAAAGAGCTTGGTGAAAGGGCTTCTCCATGTGAAAGGAGTGAAAGCACGTCTCCAGCAACTGGATGGAGACCGGAGCCTTGTTCCTCACCGGCGTGTCGAGGCGACTAATGCCCTTGATAAGCATGCGAACCTGTGGATGGTCAGACGGGAAGTGTAGGCCCGCGGCAGCGAAGAAATGTCGAATACCCGTAAGCGTGGCCGTAATTGTTGTACTGCGCACTGGTAGGCCGGATTCATAGCCTTCGCGAAATCCCAGCAGTGCGAAATCGGTAATGTGCTGAATGGATGCGCATAAGGACATGGGCTCGAGTGTCGGATGAATCCCCCGACGGGAGCACCAGACCAGCCACTTTCTCAGGGCCCTGGCATACTGGCCGAAGGTGGACTCTGCAACGGAGTGCGCTCGGAGATGGAAAGCCATATCCGCTCGTGATCGGCCGACGTCACGTTGGGAGAAACCTGACACCAGTCACGCGTGAGGCAAGAAAATAAGTTAGCAGCTGAGGCGTCGTCAGTACTTCGCGAGCCGGCGTCCGCAGTCGTGTTGTCTGACCCCGGGGTGTGAGACGACGAGAAACGAATATTCCACTTCACCTCCCAAATACCGAGAAGACGGATAAGTGTCTGTGCGCGTGAGTTTGTGGCTACCATTTTGGACTGCCAGCTCACTGCCGACATGTTGTCGATGCGGAAGTGCACATGTACTGGTCGGGATGCTGCCCGCGTGCCGTAGCGGCTCGACCAGGCGGCCCCCCACGTGTGCGCTGCCATAGTTGCCGACAACAATTCCCGATAATTGATGTCGAAACCCACAGATGATCGATCTTTGGTTCTCGAAATCAACGCCCGCTCCTCATTAGAAAACCGGTAGACGAGAACGGTCCTCTCCGCGCGAACGAGAGCACACAACCCAGTGTCGGAGGCGTCCATCTCAACCACGACGTCGGGCTGGGGATGGCGTCCAAAATAAGCCAGTGAAACACCATTCAATACAGGGCGGCCCAGAATATGTAACCACCACAGCAGATCCTGCCGCATTGAATCCGTGACAGATACAGTTTGCCACCGATGGAGGTGGCGCTCCTGTTGGCGGAGGCGCTGAAAGAAGGAACGAGCCGGACGAATGCACGTAGCCACATGACGAAGGCACCCAAGGAGTGAACGGTACTCCGAGCGACCTAGCGTGGATAACTGAAGTGCCGTAGTCACGATACGTTTGGCTTTCGCGATCTTGGTTGCTGGCATTGAAATCAGACCCTGCGAGGTGTCAAAAATAAGGCCCAGCGCCTTTTGACGTTTTCTTCAGCGGGTGAACTTGTCTTCGTTGATGGCACGAGGCCCCAAAACGGTCAGCATAGCGTAGCGAAGGGACTGCCCAGCGTCCTGGTAGCTCGAGCCCACGTCGGCTGCGACATTAATATGGTCGTCCACCCAGCAGTAGTTGAAGAAACCCGTTGGGTTGTGTGTGTTGGTAGTATGACCGTGGACGTGTGCGATAGCCCCACCGACCACACCGTAGTCACCGGGGGATCCTGACCAGCCGAAAGCTGCCGACATGTCGATTACGAGCGCGGTGTCGCGGTCGAGGCACCCGCCAAAAAGGTGGACTGAGTTGCTGTGGATGCCAACGTGTTTGAAAGCCGACGCAACGTCACCAGCTAGGACAGCGATATCAGCGCCCGGGAACTGTACTTCTTGCCGTGTAATCTCCATGGCAATCGCATCGCAGTGAACGAAATCCGGTTGGCACACCGCCGCCTGGTCCGTGAAGTCGTTGATCGAGTGCTCAACAGGGTGTGATAAATCATGGATGACGCGACCGGTGATTGCTCTGTCGCCGTCCCCTTTGTCCACTACTCCGAATGAGCTAATATGAACTTCGGTCCAAATTGAAAGAAAATCGATGTCGACCACAATACAACGCCAGGCATCCTGCTCTTTCCGGATGTTGCGCACGAGCACAGCGTAGCGCTCATCCGCTGTTCCATGGTTGCGAGGCCGACACTGCTGAGGGGGTAGTGGCTGTAATCGCGGTACTTGCGCTCCTGCCTCTGCGATGGCAAGAAGCTGTGGGAGGTGTTCATATCCGGCACAGGTTGCCGATAGTACGTCCGGTATCATGCCTTTGTTCGGTCGGTAGTCATCTTTGGTCTGGCCGCGAAGGAGCTCGGCGAGCTGAGGAAGAGGCATACGCGTGCGTCGTACGAACTCCGACAGCGTTGCCTGTAACCCTTTTTTTAATCCTTCGCTGGAGGACCGGTCCTCGCCGGAGTCGCATGCTGGGAGGGTAAGTCCGACAGCACGCAACGCGCGTTCGATCCGACGGATCCGAATTGACTCCCACAGTTCGAGCCTAGCCAACGCGGCTACTGTCATGCGCCTCGTTGCGGCTTCCGTTGGCGCGGGTCGGAAACAAGGCGCAGGGGGCTTAGAGAACAGTGGAGAGCAGATGTGACACGTTCGACTTGAGGAATTGGTGGCGTCTCCGGCTGTGGTTGACAGTCCGGCAGTCGCCGTGCTGTGGATCGCCTCCAGCGTGTTCTGTACGGTGACGTCCAAGCCGGGGAGCGTTGGTGGCTGAGCGCCATGGGGCTTCAGTGGTTGGGTGCCGTGGGGCGAATTCGGTTGAAATTGTGAGGTACTGATGATGGTATCATGTTGGTAACTGCGCCCATGCTCGACGGGTTCCAGTGACTGCGCTCCACATCCCGCCGGCGGCTGTATGGACGTTGGCGCAAAATATGAAACCACACTGCTGCCGGTGGACTGGGACTCGACGCGGGCGTTCAGCGCTGCCTGCCATTCAGCACCGTGGTAATCAACGGCTCGCACAGCTTCGCAATAATTCCGCCACCACACAGGGGGGACATCAAGCAAGTGCGAAATCGCACGCCCGAGGAACGTGTTCACGTGCTGTAGTGTTAGCGTGACCCGCTCTGGGGTATTATCGTCGCGTTCGGCATTGGCGACAACGAAACGCTTGAGACGGGACGTCATCTGCCGAGCGTATTCGAAAAAGAACGCGTCCCCGACAGAGAGCAGGCCACCGATGGCTGCAAGAAGGCCTTCGTAGCTCGAACATTCGCCAGATGCCGAGGGAAGCGCTGCACTTGCCCCAAAGTCGGATGCAAAGTTGGCATTGGACGAGCCCCGTTGAAGGCGCTCCAACTCTGACTGAGGTCGGAAATGCAGGATGGTGAGGCCGCGACTACCGAGACGGGCACCGTAGAGGGCCGTCAACACAGCAGGCGTTGATTCGAAGCGGACCGCATCGTGCTCACGAAGCCTAAGAACAAAAGACATTGGAGTGGTGTACGCACCTTCAGGAGACGACATGATCTTGTACAGCCGATGAACAGCTAGCTGGTGAGCCTGGGGCGGGTAGTACTCCCCCTTGACCCTTGTGCGCGGCACGGGGAAGCTGGAGCAGCGCAGGTGGCAATCACCAACCGGAATAGCCAGTCAACCTTGCTGTCGAGGGACTCCCCAGCCGGTCGGGAGGAGGCTGAGGGCGGAGCCATCGCTGGTAGTGGCGTCAAGAAACTCGTCAAGCCGGAACGACGCCGTTTGAGGCCGTGGTACATGGCTCTCAGCAGATTGGCGGGCAGTACCACCTGTGATGGACGTCGACGTAGACGGTCTGGCCTGGCGCGACGGTGGAGGTGGCGCGAGACTTTCACTCGTGTACACGATAGACCGTCGTGGCGCTGACGGCGGGCGCCTGGTCGTGGGTATAGCAGAGGATGTGGTGCCTACGGGTGCAGAAGGAACAGCAGCCAGGGTTCCGCTAGTGCTGGCGGTAGCCATTTCGGCCTCCGAGCTGCACGCGGTGGCCAGAGGACGATGCGTTTCGGTCGGTGCCGGTGGTGCAGACTTGCGCTTTGGCTTCTTCGATGGTTCACTCGGTACAAGGCCAGGTGCAGCAGCAAGTGCACGTTTTGCCTTCCTCTTACCGGCAGCACCAGATTTCCGCGTGGCAATGCGTGCACTTAGGCGTTGTGATGGCGAGGCAAGAGGAACGTCATCGTTTCCGTCAACGATGATGACGGTTCCATCAGGAGCTGAGCGCTGGGCTCCCTCGGCCGGAGCTGGAGCCGGGGATGGCGTCGGAAGGCCACCACTGAGGTTGGCAGACAGCATGGCATCCAGCGGTTCGTCTTGAGTCCCACTATCGTCAGGTTACGGTAGTGGCATCGACGATGCGAGGGATGAGCGAGCTCCCGATGAGTCAGCGTCGGGCTGCGTTAAGACAACGCGAGGAGAGTTGGGGGCGGACGAGGCCGCACGAGGAGAGCTTGGGGCGGACGAGGTCATACTGATGACTAGGTCGAAGAACTTGGACGAGCTGTAGCTTTGGTCTTGAGCAGAGAAACCGAAACTGAGTGGTGCTGGAGTCCGCACTACCTTCACGGGATAGGCATACCCAAAACCTTGGCTTGAGCTGCGCTGACTTGTTAACTCCCTCTGCCTCCGAAACCTCTATTCCTGTTACCACAAATGCCAAACTAACCTGATCGGCTTGCAACGGATTTAAAAAAAAATGACGTTTTCTCGAAAAGTGAGCGCCTTTAGAGGCTCAGAAAGCTGACAGAAGCTGAGCCGGCAGGCGATGATGCCGCAACAGATATGATAAAGAGATACGAGTTGATGTCAGATGAGCTGAGCCCGGATTTCTTGCCGCGAGGGTGATATAATACGAGTTTCGTATGGTTAGTGAGATGCCGCATTACAGTGGAATGCATACTGTACGTAAGTGAAGTGGATACGGGGCGGATGTGGACTATAATAGCTCACTACATGTACTGCTGCTGCATCGCCAGCTAATTTCTGCGTGCAGTTTCGATAGCAAACGAATGATAAATTGTTTTTGGTGCGGTGGTATAAGAATCCTTACGATTAAAAACGGCCTCAGAAAGTAGTAGACTACTTCGAAGTACCTTTTTGCTACAGGCGACAACACGCTTAAACAAGAAGCTTCTATTGTCCATACTGTAAGTATCACTTTCGCTCTGAAGCACTGACAGCTAAGAGCTTCGAGCGGTATGCATTGCCTAATCGAGCTACGTCATCTGCTTCGAAGTGTGACGTTTGGAAGATATTTTTTTTACTGAAACGGCACGAATCTTCTTTAGAGTCGTAGATTTCTATCTTCTGATGGGGAGCTACTACATGGAGGACTCACGTCGCTACTCTGGCTATGACGAGTACGCGGGTATTTTCGGTCCCCTTCAAGCTTCTTCGTCATCCTCATTTCGATCTCGAGGTCGCGTCGCTCCACGCCGCCGTGGCTTCTCGGGCTCACGTTATGCTGATACCTTCTCGAAACCACACAAAGGTCGGGGGTCTGCAACGAGAGAATTCAACGACCGCGCAAGGTTTTTAGCAAAGCGCAAGGTGAAGCGAGCTCTCGAACCTCTGGAAGGTGATAGTGATGGCGCCGACGACCTGGAGAATAAGGAGAACGAGCCGACAAGTCCGACACATGGCCTACAACGACAGGTTTGGCTTCCTACTCGTAAATTTGCATTCCGACAGCGCGCTGGGAAATTGGATACCCGCGCCATTGCACGCCTAGATCTGGAAAAAATTGCAGCTTCTACAGATATTGAAACTATCCAGAGACATCTGGAAAATCTAGCCTTTTCAGATGTGACGCTGGATGATGTTCAGCATTATTCGGATGCTTATTTTCTAAAGCTGTTCCAGATCGCACAGGTACGCCTCTTTCGTCTAGAATTTAGACTTTCGTTCTAAAAACTAACTTCTGGATATGAAGCTCACATTGGAGTATCTGATGCACGTTCAAGATTCGCTTGTGGATCACTCGGAGGGACTAGAAAAGCAGTGTGAACAACTCTTGACAGAGTGTCAAGAGCTCGAAACGGAGAATGGACAACACGAAACGGAGATCGCAAGTTTAAAACGCGAGATCCGACAGAAACAACGCACGATGGCAACGTTAGAATTAATGCTGCTCAATGCATCGGCGTCTAGTCGGATGAGTGCCTCTGCGAAGGAAAATGCGTCCAAGGAAGCCAACGCTATCGTTGATGAACTCCTGGCTGACTCCACAGCGACAGAAGAAGGGTCAATAGCAAATGGTAAGCTGAGATTCGTTCGATGATACGAGAGACTCTGATCTGTAATTTCTATTTGGTTATTACAGCAGCGGTGTCTTGTGTGTTGTGTGGAAAGCGGTTTTTATCTGCGGAATATTTGCTCCGTCATCAGCAGAGACGACATCAAGACACAAAGAAGAAGAAGAAAAAAAAGAAGAGCTCTTCTAGCTCTAGTAGCGATAGTGATTCCAAGAAGAAGAAGAAGAAACCAGAGAAACCAGTTCCCTTACCCAAGGAGATTCTTGATGCACTCGAAGAAAAGAACCAGCTAGCCAAGCAACTCATGGCATTACAGGACCAAGTTCGTATTGATCAAGAGACGAGAGAGCGACAACGTCAACAGCTCGAGAACCAGCAACAGCAAATGAACTCGAGAGTCGAATTGTACATGGAAAAACTGCAAACGACTCTAGTCGAGATCGACAAGAAGCAGGAAGATACCAAGCAAGATCTACGTCAATATACTCACGAAGCTATCAATCGCCTTCAACTGGAAGCTGCCAATGCAGAGCTCATGCGTCTTCAGACACAGAAAGCCTCACGCGCTGGACGACTCGAGAACGACGACGACGAGGCGGCAAAATCGGAAGCAAAATGGTCCAAGAAGGTGGAGAAGATGATGGATACATTCTTACGAGCGCAAGCACAAAAGCAGCAGGAAATCGACTCGTTAGAACAAGAGAGCAGCAAATTGTGGGCAAAGTACAACAAGCTTAAGAAGAAGAAGCACCGTCCAGAACCAACGATCCGACTGGAAGATTTAACAGCGCTAGAAGCTGGACGGTTCGGTGTTGATCGAGGAGAAGTGGAGCAGCCACATGCACATACACCAGCTGCGCGACTGGAAGACAAACGCATCCAAACTGACGAAGAAGAAGAAGAAAAACGAGAATCAAAAGTCGAGATGCGCTGCGAAGAGGTCCAAACGGAAGCAGAGCCCAAAGTCGCGGCAGTTGTTGTCCGACGCATTCGAATGGAAGCTAGTACGCGTAGTATTTCGCCACTTCCAGTTAAGAAATCACCTGCTCCAGCGCCCAAGAAAGAGGTCGTTGTCATTCCTCCCGTTTATGAGGAAAAAGAGGCCAAGGCTGTTGATCCACGAGCCAAATTCCAGCAAGCAACGCATGTTATTGGGAAAGTGGCGCTGGGATTCCTGACTCGTCGAGCGCTTCGGAAGACGTCGAATTGGCAGATCACGATCGAAATTTCTTCGCTAGAGACTGCGCTTACAGCTCCTGAACTGGAATTCGTTCGTCAGCACTACGACAGTCGACTACGTGTCCACGTGGAGGAAACAATGACGGCTAGCAATCTACGCGTTACGATCGCTAAAATTCTGTCTGGCAAAGACGAATTTAATACCGAAAATAACGACAGTGAAGACCTCGAAATTACCGCAACCATGACGTACCACCGCGTTCTACTGCACCATAAGCAGAGCGGCGTCGAGTTATCCGGTGACATGCTGATCCACAAGCTTCAGAACCTTATCGAAGTGGAAATTATTCCTTATCACGAAGTTGCAGCAATGCAGGTTGGACAGGTGATTGAAACTCATGCAAGTGTTTCAAACCGCATCGAGGATATCAAGCGTGCGTCGATGGAATTATCTGCGTCTGAGCTGTCAAATTTACAATACGAAAGCGACACTCGTCGTAAAGATGCTACTCTTGCTCGTGTTGTACGTCTACAAGCTCTCGTTCGTGGATTTCTAGCTAAAAAGAATGTAGAACTTTTAAAAATCGATCGACTAGTGGACGCACGACTGGTGAAGATGAGGAGCACAAAGTCTACTGAAAATTTTACGCTCGAGCCTTCTTGGATGAGTCGCGATCCTGTGTTGGCTACTGAATATGACAAAGCACTGAGAAGGTTGGAGCAAATATTACGAGAGAAACTACACAGAGAAGACGCTAGTGACGATGATCTAACACTCCTGTCAGAAGCAGAGTTTAAAACACACAGCGCTAATTTATTATCAGAGAAAATGGGTCTCTCGAGTGTCGCACAGCGTCGAATTCTACTGGTTACCGAGCGGTTACCGCCAGTGGCGATAGTCGAGTATAGTCGACGACAAGTAGAAGGGAAACATGGAACGAAAACGCGAACTGCGGGTGCTGCTAGAATCCACAGATCGGTGCAAGTGGAGGTCGTGAGGAAGAGACTGAAGCGACTCGTTGCTGACGTTAGTGCTCAAAAATCAAAACTTGATAGCACGACGGATATTAACACGCCAGAGTACTCGGCAACTACCAAGCTGCTGTTGACCTCATGGCTTTCCCCGGCACGAGAGAGTCAACCAGCGACTGACAAGTCTCTAGGCAGCTTCGACCCAAATGAGATCGATCAGCTGGCCAACGCGTACGAAGAAGGCACGTCGCCGATCGACATCCAGAGAGCCGAAGAGAAAGAGCTCGAGCCTCCAGCTACCGAGGAGAAACTGCAGATGCCGCTGCCATTAACTCCGAGAATGGGGCCAGACGACGTTGAAGCTGTGAGTGAAGAGAAACCAACTCCGTATACTGACGTTGCAGAGCCTGGTCGCTCGCCTAGACCCCACTCAGGGGTTCACGTAATTTCTCCATTCTCTAAGACGCCCTTGATATCGCGACGAGCGGCGGCGAGAAGAGGAACAGGGTCCGACAACGCAAGGTAATACTGTAGTACTACGTAGTAAACCCAGCTGCACATAACAATGTACTTAATAGGTTAGTAGAAGTTGAAACGAGCGTTTTTTTTTTTAACTTTTGATACAAAGTGAAAAAGTGAGCTAACACAGAGTGAAGGTCACTAGCGACCTTATCCCTCTCTTAGTAAGAGTCTTACTGGTGGTTCTTCGCCCGGCGCTCGCGCACAGCAGCAGCCAGGTCGCGCAGCACCTCGACAGTCGTCTCCCAGCCCATGCAGGCGTCCGTCACACTCTTGCCGTACACGAGCGGCTGGCCGGGCGTCAGAGGCTGGTTGCCCTCCTCAATGTTGGACTCGAGCATCACGCCGACAATACGGTCGTCACCTGCACGCAGCTGGTTGCCGATGTTGGCCGCCACCTTGACCTGGTTCTTGTGCTTCTTCTGCGAGTTGCCGTGCGAGCAGTCAATCATGACGTTGTCCACCAGGTTCGACTTGAGCATGCGCGCAGACGCGTCATCCACGTGCTCCTTCTCGAAGTTGGGGCCGGATTTGCCGCCACGGAGGATCAAGTGGCACGTGTCGTTGCCCGAAGTGTTGACAATAGCCGCCAGACCCTGCGAACTGACACTCAGGAAGCAGTGCGAGTGCTTGGCAGCCACGACGGCGTCCACGGCGAGTTGCAAGTCGCCGCCCGTGCCGTTCTTGAAGCCAATAGGCATAGATAGACCCGAGCAGAGCTCCCGGTGCAGCTGGCACTCGGTCGTACGGGCACCAATTGCACCCCAACTGACCAGGTCCGAGATGAATTGAGGCGACATGGTGTCCAGGAACTCGCAGCCAGCCTGGTGTTATATAACAATGTCAGTTAAATGCTCTCGTTTGCCTCAAACCCGCAACTACGCACCGGCAGACCGAGCTCGTTGATAGCAGCCAGAAGCTCACGGGCGACGCGCAGACCCTTGTTGATATTGAATGATCCGTCGAGGTCCGGGTCGTTGATCAGACCCTTCCAGCCGACAGTAGTGCGGGGCTTCTCAAAGTACACGCGCATGACGATGAGCAGGTCCTTGTTCAGCTCCTTCTTAAGCTCCAGCAGACGCTTGGCTGCACCACCGGAATGTCAGAATCCCACTGTCGTCATATAGTAAATAGCTACAGTGACTCACCGTAGTCCATGGCGGCGTCGGTGTCGTGGATGGAGCACGGGCCCACTACAACCACGAGACGGTCATCCAGACGACGCAGGATGTTGGCTAGACCCTGACGACCACGGTTAATCTGTCGCAAATAGGTTAAGTCAGTCACAAAGACGTTTACATGGCATATTGCAGCTTTAAAATAGCTTACGGTCTGCACGATCTTGGTCGTGAGCGGGATCTCCTCGAGTAGGATGGCGGGAGGGATAAGCGGTCGAATGCCGGAGATACGCACATCCATAATGGCCTTCTTGTCCGTGATCTTTACGTCTTCACTGGCAGTGCCGCTTGGGATACGAAGGCGGCGGCGACGCTCCTGTTCATACGTGTGGTCATGCTTGTTGCGCTTCTGCGAAGTGGAGCTCTCCATCTCCTGCTGCGGGATCTGACGGCCCAGCATGAAGCCCACAATCCCCACGCTGCCCGCCGTGATGAGCGTCATAGTGGCGGCCAACAGGCCCAGGCCTAGCGTCAAAGAGGTCGACATGTTGCCGTCGTGTCCGGTCATTGCTGCTTGGGGTCAAAAGCTCCAAAATGCAAATGACCACCTTTTCGATCTAGTGGCCCAGAATGGCTTTTGCTAATCGGCTTTTAAAACATACAAACTTCAAGCTAACTCCCGACCGCAAGGAGATTTTTCTTCTGGTTTTACGGAGCTGAGTAAAAACCATGGTTTTAGCATCTCAAACTTGTGTTTACCTTGAGCATGTTTGGATGCCAGCAATACCTCCTCAACTGTGACTGCATTTCGCTATGGTAAAAGTTATGTTGCTATCGCTAGGTGACCACTTCGAACCTCTCGTCCTCACTTATGACGCTGGACGACTCACTCACACGCACGCCGCCCTGTTCGGGCCCATTGTTTTCCATATACACGCGACCGGTACTCACGAAGCCTATGACGTTGAGTAGATCCGCCTGTTCGGCAATAGACTTGTCCAAATCCTTAAACGCAGACAGATCCGACGAACGCGGGGCGCTGCTCGTGTCGCTCATCATACACGAGTTACGTTTGGTCACCTCCAGTGCCTCCTGCGCTCGCTGCGAGATCTCCCGTAACCGGGTTGCCATGTCGTTATCGCGGGCTTCTTGTGACCCGCGACGGTCTGCGTACTTGTAGCTACTGTAGCTACTAAAGCTGCTGCAACTCTCTCGACTAGGTTCCTGCGGGTCGTACTCGTCCGTCTCCAGTGGAACACCGTATTCGCGGTTGTCGAAGCCGTCGTAGGACTCCATCGGGTCCGTTTCCAGTCGAGAACGTCGCTTCTCCCGTTGCGTACGGATGGACAGCGGACTGATGGGCACCTCGCCGGCACTGGACATGTGGATCGTTGTCCCTACATACAGTGGGTGACAGTCCGAACGCTTGTTCCTGGGGCCTCCGCTTGAGTTGCCAGCGAGCTTTGGTAATGAACTGGTGCTCGTACGGCTACTCTGGTTGGACGCTTTACCAACGTTAGAAGGACGAGGACCTTCGCTTACCAAAGACGGGTGCGGATTGCTGTCGAACACAAGGAACGACGGGTTTGCACGCTCGGGTCCTCCCTCTGTCTGGTTGTTCATATCACGACGAGCAGCAGTCACACACGTTCGGCAGAACAACACGAACTCCGGACGACTGGACGTCGGTGTCGGCACGTCGAAGCTGCCACTGTTGAAAGCTTTCGCTCGACTTGATACTTCGCAGTCCTTGCACATATTCTCACCACAAGCGCTACATTGAGAACGTGGTCGAACAAGAGAAAATTTCTTATTGCAAACGTTGCAATATTTGCGCTCACTATTGGCAACCACAACAGAAAATTAGCATTTTTTATGACGTCAACAAAAATTGCCAGTTGCTTTACGTACCCGGCGATCATGCGTTGGAACTTGTGGCCTTCCACTTGTTGAGCCATATACTTGGCTTCCTCCACCTTGTTGAGGTTGGTAACGACAGACGTAAAGGTCTCGTGAATAAAGTTTACAAGTTTACTGGACGAGTGGCCACTCAAGCCCATCGATCCTTGCCACAACACGTTGGCTGAACGAGAGTCTGCGTTCTCCTTAAATAACAACACGGCCGACATTTTGCCACGCAAGAGGCCAAGCGAGTTTTCCAACGACGCGCACTCCTCGAGATCGACGGATTGGGTGACCAAGTAGCCGATCTTGGCCTTGTTACTATCGACTACTGTACCCATACTCCTGAGGTAGCAGAGATCTCGGTTCTTAGCGAGCAATCCAGGCGAGCGACTTGCCATCCAGTTGAGACCGAGATAATGATGCGGTTTGTCGTCAGTCTTGGTCTCCAGCGCGTTGAGAACGACGGCGTCCAGTGCGTTCTCAACCAGGAACGTTGAGTTGCTGCGAAAGTCCATGGTGTTGTCCGAGTAGAGAGCGTTGAGGCAGTGCTCGACCGACATTTGCACCTTGCCCATGCATCGGAACTCGAGTTGTCGATGGCCACTGCGGTCACGGGCGTCGCGTCGTCGGCAGTACGTGCGGATGCCCGTGTCTCGGAAGTGGCGCTGTGAATTGGAGAGTTTCCAGCCGTTGGTGCCATCCTCGTAGCTCATGGCCCATTTGGCCTTCTGTGTAGCCTCCGAGGATAATTGGTCGGCCTGTTCCTTGAGGAACGTGTGCTGTTCGGGCGAGCATGACACAGTGGGGAAGAAGTCCGCGGCCAGCGGGAAGCGCGAGTGGTTGCTGGATGACACCCGCTCCAGCATCGATGGCCGCACACTTTGATCGCGCGAGTGGTCCATATTTGGAGCAATCGCCTCGCTTTCAAGCAGAGACCTACTCGACGAATTGAGCAATGCTGGCAGGCGGCAAAAGTGGCCGATTGTCGTTTGGTCGCATGTGGTGTCTGAACTCTACACAAAATTTACCCTTTGGACGGTCCAATGGACCGTTGAGTGAAAATGGTCTCGTTTACAGGGGCAGTACAGGTGGCAATTTTGGGCCATTTGAAGCGCTTCCTGACTCAAAAATCTTGAGGTGACTTGCAGCTGTTGCTTATCGGTTGCTGCACCACGTAGCTGACAGCAACAGATACCGGTAACTGTCATACTTAGTACTGGTACATGCTTGACGCGCGAATTGCTGAGAAGCTCAAGTTCTTGGCGAGCATAGCAGAATTTGAGCTCTGTGTGTCCATTTCAACTTCTTTGTGTACATGTGCACTCGGCGAGAAACATGCAACAAAATGTATTGAGTGTTTGGATTTTCTACGGACATGGGGGGAAAATCGAGCGTGCTGTTGTCCATGTTGCAACTTGCAAGCTGCCTTTGTAATGCAAAACGGGGCAGTGATCATCTGCCGCTCCGAAAGCAAGTGGCATTGCAGCCAAAAGACGGCTGGGCCAGAACCACACGACGCCTTTTCGCAACCAGCGGCGCCCTTCGCTTCGAAGTGAGGAAATGCCTTCTGCGATCCAATTGTACGGCGAGGAGCGGACAGCCCCCACATCGCGCCGATATCTTCAGATAATGGAGCTCGATGGGTCTGAAAAGACGAGGAAAGGGGGCGGACGATGAGGCCGGCGCGAGGATATTGCGGTCGGTGGCTGGGAGGTGATCTCACAACGCAATCGTAAACACGTTTGCAATCTGGCAGCAAGTGGGTAGGTTGAAGAATCGCGAGATGGCTTGCAATTTGCAAGTCGAGCTGTTGTGCCGTTCGCATGGTCGTGTAAATAGTAGCGAACTAAAATGTCCTTCACCTCATGGCAACTATCGCCTACGGTAAGTTTATCGACATCCTTCAAATGACATGTAAAGAAGTGGTTATTTCGATGCTCGACATGTTAATGTTGATTTTGAAGCTGTCTGACCGAAGAAGAAAGTGTATTAACGTGTTATGCAGATGCAGATCGGACCTGGTCCGTCGGAAGCATTGAAAACCGTTCTGGTGCTAGGCGATGGGCTAGTACCGTGTCCTTGGCGCTAAGTGCCATCTCTGGAACGTGATGATCGGACAAGAATACGCCTCGCTTGGCTGCTGCAATCTGCTTGTCCACTTCAGCAAAGAACGAGAGCGGGGTAAGACCCAAATGAGTTTCCCCGTAGTGTCGTGGCCCGCGGTCTGATGGGCTGCTGCCTTTAATCACATCAGTAGCCCACATTTCAGCAAGCCGATGCAACGTCGCAGTCTTCACGTGCTTGTACACGATAGCCTGGCCAATGTTTGCTAGAATTGGGGACAAAAGAGTTGCTTTGGCACTTGAATCCGTCACCAGGCTGCAATGAGGACAAGCCATTAAAGGCGGCTCTGGAGTTCTACTTGCAGCTGAAGCCACCGGTTCTGTCCTGACACGACGGCCTTGTGCTCGTCGACACGCTTGGCACATTGTCTTCGAGAAGGGGACGTCACACCCAGCAGACACAACCACGCAAACAAGCACCTTACGTTCGGCTATTCGCTTCGTTCGCTCCTTGGGACCGACAAATCGGTCAATAGCGCGCACTTCGCTGTCGGTGAGCTGTTACGTTATCGACATGTTAGTAAGGACGTATGGACGAAGCAGTATACGTCGCTATCTTACCGAGTCACTGAGCATGATGAGTTCGTAGGTAGGACCGCTGGCTCCTAAAGCGCCTGTGGCAGGCTGGCGAGTAAAGTTGGATATCGCCTGTTCACTACTATTGGCTAGGTCCCACTGGAAACCCTCACGACGTAGAACACTTTCCACCGCTAGTTGCTGCTTCGCAAATTTCTCCACTAGCAAAACACGCGGCAAATGGTCCATTTGCCCCGACAAATTTGCGTTTTTCGTCGGTGGAGCTACACGAATCGCTAGCCCTCCAAGACTTGAAACGTGTACGAGTCGCGAGTCGTAGAACCTGTCCGCAAACATCTCATTGAATAGTCCGTTGCTATGAGTGAATAGCGCAGCGTGCGTACATGAGGAATGTGGGCACGGCACGAACTCGATAGCGGTCAGCCAGTGCTGGAGATTCAGCGAGGTCGCATTTAACCAAGCGACAATTGCTTCTTTATACCGTTAGTTAGCAAAAAGCATTTCTAGATAGTGCAAATACCCACTTTGATATCGTTGCAGGGTTCTGGTTTCGCTCGGAGAGAATCAATTGGATCTGCTCGAGTTTTGCTTCCACAGCACGCGACTGACGGTCATCAGCACGTAGACAAGCTACCACGACCAATTCATCGCTGGCGCAATGTTCGCGAAGGAATGGATCGAGTTTCGAGCCCGAAATTGTGGCCAAGCGCTCGCCTACTGACTTTGTGCTATTACCTCCAGCAACTCGCAACTCTTGCGAGTAGCGCCCGCTTGCATTCGTCAAAGATCCCGTTCGTGGGAGGCCTGGGTTTTCCTGAGCAATCATTCTATGAATCTCCACTGACCCGCGCCATTTTCCATTGGACTCGTTCTTGAGACGTTTTAGTGACTCGGACGCATCGTTTGCTTGCACCACCGACCCGAGCAGTGTTGGTATTTGGCCCACCTCGTAGCCTGTTGCAGGCAAGATTGGGATTTCGCGGAGACTCTGTAGATACGCCTTCTCTCTCCAGTTCCCGTCTGGTGCCGGTGTGACGCGACATCCTTCATACCCGTCAAACTTGGTTTCCAGTGTTGAAACAATTTGCTTAATTTGATCATGTGCAACATCTTTGCTTCTGGGTTTTGACTTGCTCCTCTTCTCCAGTGACTCGAGCTCTATTCGTTTCTGTCGTTGCTGCAACGTTGGCACTTCTTGATCGATCAGCAGTTTGCCACGATGAGGCCCTTCTGTCACGCGACGAGCGTGGTCGAAGTATGAGTCTGTACGTCGAAGACGTTCACCACAAGCGAAATCCACAAGAGTTCCATGACATGGAGCAAACTTTATGGAAATCGAGTTACGGTCTCGATAAGTGAACGCCAAGCTGGCATTCAAGTTGATAGCAACCGGTTCTGACGGTGGCGAGCCAGCTCTCTGAGCCTTGCGATCCCAGCGCCAGGTCTATGATAACTCATGTAAATTTGGCGTGGGCTGGAATGATATTCAGGCGGGTTATCATACGCTACCTTGAGGATGACATCCTTGCCGTCCAAGATGATACCACATTCTTTGGTCAGAATCATCTTCTTGCCACCAGGTTTTCCGGCAGATCCCACCTTTGGCAATGAAATATTGAGAAAATCTAGTAACATTTTGGACAATCAAGGGTACTCACGGCGTGCTCATCGAGAGTTGCCAATAGTGTGCGCTTTTTGTTGTCCTCGTAAAACTGGAAGCTGCGCTGGTAGTGGTTGATTTTGTTCGCACAAGCTGCCACTCGCCCCGACGCATAACTAACCATAGGAAAAAGATGTCAACCAACGAGCAGCTGTAAAGAGCTCTCAGTACGCACTAGCAAAAACCGCAGCCAAGGTCGTCCAGCTGAATTGCCACCTCTCCAGTTGGGTAGCTTTGAGTTACCGGTATTGCTAAGCTCGGAGATCCCATTTGATTGTGTGGCCGTGTTGGAATGTCGTCGAGTGCCATCGGCAACAAAAGGTGTTGTCAATAGGCTAGTATAACAAAACTGCGCTCACTATATTTACCCGTTTTTCAGACTTGCTATTATTAATATAATCCTGCAAGAGTTTATTCGCAAGATAGAGATGGATTTAGAAACACGAACACGGCAAATTAATATGTTTCCAGGGTTTAGGATTTGGTAGATTGACTCATGGCATGACGAACTCCATCGACTAGATTTGTAACGGGGTACGTAGCCCTAAGTGTACCCTGGTTACATGAAGTGTGACACTTCACACTTCAGGGTCATACTCCGGGATATTTGGTACAAGGTACCAGGGTCGCTCAAAGCCAACCATTGGTTAAATGACATTGCATTTCTATAGGTAACTAATAGTTTCTATTAAACCCAAACTTAACCTACCTATAAGTATACTCAGTTTACAATCTACCTTATTTAGGTCACTTCGCTCTCTTTAAATTAAAAAGGGGACCTGTGAACTGCCGTTCACTGAGAGTTTGTATACTCTCGGAAGATAACTTCCTCTAGCGCAAGGTGCTGTGTGACCCCGTCACACTTGGTAGCACTTGTAGTCAATCCACGCCACCGCGGGTAGACTACCTGAACCTCTCCGAAGCTCGTTGCCATGGATAGGAACGACTTCTCCCATTTGAACGACTCTCAGTTCGAGTCGGTTCGGAAGATGGCAGGCATCTTCGGGATGGAGGCCCTGCAGAGCCTGGTGGTGTCAACACCGGCTGAGCAGCTCGAGCGCGTCAATGCATTTGACGCGTACGAGCAGGGCCTCATTGCGCATGTGCGGGAGAACCTGCAGGCTCCGGCGGCGGAAGCACATCCGCCTCACCCGAAGCCAATACGGCTGAAGGCTAAGCCGTATGAAGGGAAGGAAGGCGATAACCTTCACTTCTGGGTCCGAGAAGTAGAGCTCGCGATGGACGCGGCTCTGATCTCGACCGAGCAACTGCGTGTTGCTTTTGCACTCTCCAACCTTAGCGGTCGTGCTAAGAGTTGGGTGTACACTCGGGAAGCAACATGCCCTGAATGTTTCACATCCTGGGCTCAGCTGTGCGAACAGCTCCGAGCCGCGTTCCTCCCGGCGAACTACGAGTACCGCCAGCGTTTGCGCTTCCTCGCGTGTAAACAAGGAAGGCGCGAGCTGCACGAGTATGTGCAAGAGATACGGGAGCTCACGGCGTCCCTAGTGGGAAACCCACTCAACGAACACATCAAGATAACTGTGTTCATGGACGGCCTTCGAGTGGGCCCCGCACGCACTCAGCTGTTCCGGGTGCAGTCAAGCACCCTTGAAGAGGCGATTCAAGTGGCTCTTCAAGAAGAGTACAGCCATCGCCAGGCGCGTACGCCGGCCTCAGCGTGGCCTGGGAGTTTCTTGTCGGCTCCCGGTCAAACAAGCCCCAACGGACCAGTTCCCATGGAACTCGGGTCCGCCGAACAGCGCGACATCCGCTGCTTCGGCTGTGGGAAGATGGGCCACTTCATGCGTGACTGCCCCGCGGAAAGACTCCGCAGACGGTCCTTCCCCAAGTTCGTCCTCAAGGGTCGCTGGCAAAAGCCAGGATCCCGGGGACAGGGGAACGCAGGGAACCAGTAGGGGCGGGGCGCCCTACTGGGGAAGAACTAAGTCTTCGTGATGGGTGCGCGGGTGGCGCGTACCACGGGGACTTAGCCCCTGAGAGTCTTCGCACTCTCGAATCGGCGAAGAGCAGCGGCGGGTTGCTCGTAGTACACAGATGTGTACGGGGATACGATCATCCCTTTAGAATCTTGATTGACTCTGGGGCGTCGAAGAATTTCGCACGCCGCCAGACGGTTGCTCGTAACAGCAACAAGTTGTCCGATGCTTTGAGAGAAAGCAAGGGCAACGGGACGGTGTCAGTGCGACTGGCCGACGGGAAGGTCGTCACTGTCCCCAACGTCCAAGTGGATCTGGCCGTCAAGTTTGAAGACTTTGACAGCCTCGAACAGTTCACTGTTCTCGATATGGATCCATATGATATGATCCTGGGCATGCCCTGGCTTGAGAAGCACGAGCCCTGGATCGACTGGCGAGGCAAGGCAATCGGTGCCAGCCGCCCTGCGCAGTCCGACAGAGCATTGGTGAGTCATGTTCTCACCTCTGTCAGGACCCGGGGCGCCTGCGAGGGCTGCCAGGGTACCAAAGCATCCGGCAGATGCTTGGGAGTCGTCGACGTATATGACGACTCCGAGGATGTTTTGATGGTGGCCGCGCCCAGAAGAGGCGCCGGCCAAGTGGGTAACTTAGGTCCACAGGCGGGTAACCTAGTTCCGCAGACAGCTGCAGCTGTCATGAACACTGAGAATAGCGTGTTCAGAGTGGGTAACAGAGTTCCACTCACGGTCGCCCAGACCATAACTGAAGAGGAAGACGTCGGATACGCTTCCTGTGTGGGTAACACAGTGCCACACGCGGTCTCCCAGATCTTAACAGAAGAGGAAGGCGTTGAACACGCTTCCTGTGTGTATACAACAGTACCACACGAGGACACGAGTGCCTCGGATGTCGTAGCGACGACATCCCTAGACGTGGGCAGCAAAGCTCCCCGTCACAGACGCCGTCGGCAAAGACGCCGCCGCCGCCTCAAGTCGGATCCGAACTTCGTTCCGATCGACGTCGCTTCAAGCGACTCGGAGTCCAGGGCCCGGGCTCCTTCGACAAGGCCGGTGGAAGAGTGTTACCACATCTTCGATGGCGAGACAGGTTTACCCGTCAAGGCATCTGGTGTCCACTTGGAACCGTTGCCAGAGGTTGCAGAGATACTGCACCTCGAGGAAATGACGGCTGAGTCTTTCCTGACCAACCTCAAGGCTGGAGAGATTGCTGAGATGGTACTCATGAGACCTGAGACCACTCAAGAGGAGCTGAACTCCTCTTCTGTCTTGGACGAGAACGTCCTGGAAGACATGAACAAGCAGCGTCAGGCGCGCTTGGGTTCTGAGATTCTTAAGAACCCCAAGGATCCGGTGTATCCTTTGGTGACGGAGTACGCGGACGTGGTGAACAAACACCCACCGACCCAGCTCCCACCGGATCGAGGCGTACGGCACGAGATTGATCTCGTGCCCGGCACAAAGTATTGTGTCACGAGGCAATGGCCTCTCCCGCGCGAACAGTGCGAGGTCATTGATGCCTTCTTCGCCGCGAAAGCGAAGGCAGGCATGGTGCGGGAGTCGAAATCCCCGCACTCGACGCCGACTTTCTGCGTTCGTAAGCCGAACGGAAAGTGGCGTCTGGTTCACGCTTATAACAAGCTGAACAACGCAACGGTGCCGGCCCAAACACCGATCCCACGAAAGGATGTGTTGTTGAACAACATGGCCGGGAGCGTACTGTACAGTGCGCTGGATTTGGTAGACGGATACTACCAAATCCTGATGCGAGAGAGCGACATCCCGCTCACCGCGGTAAGCACTCCAAGCGGTATGCTTTGGGAGTGGCTCGTCATGCCGCAGGGCTTGTCTAACGCCCCGGTGACGCAATTGTTCTGCCCACCTTCGTACAGACGTACTTCGACGACATTTTCGTCCATAGCCGTGCCGAGGGAGGCAAGACGGCCATGGAGGTGCATCTAGGACACCTCCGTCGAGTGTTGGACGTAATGCGAGCAAACAAGCTCTACGCCAACATCGACAAGTGCGTTTTCGCGTTACCAGAGATTAAAGTTCTCGGTTGTTTCGTTAGCAACGTGGGCGTTCGGGCTGACCTAGACAAGGTCAAGGGCATAGCAGCATGGCCAACGCCCCGATCCCAGAAGGATCTTCGAAGGTGGTTGGGCTTGGCCAACAACCTTCACAAGTACAGTGCTGGGTACGCGGGCTTTGCTAAGCCCGCTTCAGAAGGACGTCGACTGGCGCTGGGAGCAAGAGCACAGCATCAAGGCTAGTCTCCAAGAGGCCCCTGTCCTGGCCCTGCCGGACGAGACGAAGCCGTTTAGCGTCGTCTGCGATGCCTCCGATTACGCTATCGGATGTGCATTGCTGCAGGCCGACACGGCTGGACAGGAACGGGTCATCTCGTTCCAGTCCAGGCAGCTCAAAGCCGCCGAGCGGAACTACCCTGTCCATGACAAGGAGCTCCTGGCAATGAAATATGCCCTTGTGAAGTTCCGTGTTCACCTTCTGGGCTCTAGGCCCTTTGTGATCTACACAGACCACGCGTCCTTGAGGACGGCGAATAACTCGCCTCACCTCTCCCAAAGGATGGCGAGGTGGCTGTCCTTCTTCGCGGAATACAACTTCCGCGTCGAATACAAGCCGGGCAAGCTCAACGTGCTTGCGGACGCCCTCTCTCGGCGTCCCGACTATGAGTTGGCCCACATCACGCGGGTGACAACGGATCTATATGATCGGATACGCATGGCGTATCGGGACGATGAGGCTGTCGCGCCTATCGTCAAGTTCCTTAAGGCCGGAACGAGCGCGAAGTCCGACTGGCTCTCGTCGCGACAGCGCTCACGGATCCACCGATATGAGTTGAAGGAGGGCCTCCTCTATTATCGGGTGGAGCCCACTGATCCTCCACGGGTGGTCGTACCCAACGACGAGGATCTGCAGTTCGACATCCTCGCGGAGGCGCATGACGCGCCCTCCAGCGGCCACTTGGGCCGCGAGAAGACCTTGCTGTCGGTCTCTCAGTCCTTCTGGTGGACCCACATGTACAAGTGGGTCGCCCGGTACGTCAAGACATGTGAAACATGTCAAGACATGTGAAACATGTCAGCGGGTCAAACCCGCAGGGCACTCTTCGGCTCCACTACAGAGCCTGCCC